TTTCCTTTTTCCCCCGTCCCTCCCCCCCCCCCCCCCCATTTATCTTTCTTCTCGCAGATTGGTGGAAGCTCAGTCAATCTTGACGAGTTTATGTCTCACATTCAGGCCCCTTGAATGATTCTCTCCGAACTTAAAAGTTCATCACCACTGTTCCTCCAATGCACTTTAATTTCATTGAGTGGTATGGCCTCGAGTTTCTCCTCCAGCATGGTATTTTTTGTTGTTGTATATTTTCACTCCATTCTTAAAGTGGTGATAAGCCACCCGCTGCTGATTTTCAATTTGCCTCCTTATTTCACTGCAGTGCACACTTGAAATAAATTAGCATCCATGCGAATCATAACTCTTAAGATCTTTAATGCTGTCGATCACACTCGAGTGGTATTCCTCAAATAAACAAGTTCGTCACAAAACAGAATACTAACCTCGCTCGCGGTACAAACAAAATGACATCACCACTCATAGTCGGTAGATAAGACACATGATGTCCAGTACTAACATGGGGTAAGAATACAGAACAACTTTTGATAATGATAACAAATATGAATATCAGCCAAACGTTGGCTCTTATCTGGAAAAATTCGCAAATGTTGCTATGTCACATGGTGAGAAGGGAGGCCTTGTGAAGGTGATGCTGGCCATACCCGCCTGCCAACTGGCATTTGTATGATCGCCAGTTGAAACTGACCCTGAATCTAAACATAAAACAAGGAGAATTACGTCTTGTGTATTCAAAATAACCATATAGCTTAGCCTTCCAGTCGCTAACTTAATGCTTGTGCTAAATAGCATCTATGCTATTTAACATAAGCTAAATAGCATAGATGTGACCTTTTATCACAGTCATATATACTTTGTCCTCTGAGAAGAATGACAAATAATAGTGCCGTACCGAGGAGCTCAGAAGAGTGAGACTAATCAATGAACATCTGGCACAAGCGACTAGCTCCACGGCCATTCACTTGATGCAGTGTAACCAAATTTTTATTCTACTTCACTGACATTACTGTATGCTTTTTATGAATGAAATACATTAAGAAGTGCTATTTTTCCTTTTTAAAATAAATTAAACGTATACCCTACGGGAACGCTGTATTCTCATGCCCGTGCGCAAACTCGTTCATTGCACACTTGTCTTAACATCTAACTGTGGTATGTCAGGACCATCGTAAAAACAAGGACCCTCTCTGAGCAAGAGATCTCAGCAAATGTATTTCTTTGCAGTGGATTTCCCCAGGGCCGCCTTAATTAATTGCGACGGTATAGCTGATATAATATATTTCCTCAAATAGTCCCTACTGGTCATGCAGTTTCATGCATCACAAAGTCCTAATAATGTCATTTTAAACACCGTTGCCAAAGTCATTGTTTTAATATTATCATGAAGTATTTGAGTATGTATTTCGGTAATGGATTAGTAGGTCATGTTAGACAGACTCAATGAAAATAAACACCTCACAGACTTGCAGGGTCACATTGGAACTGAAGGAGGACTGAAAGACAGCAGTGCAGACGATAGGACACGAGTACATTCCATTACAACAGGAAGATTGAGGGAGTCTGAGAACATGTTTTAGTGGCAGTGGGATTTCCCACTGGGCCACCGAAGGGATCTTGCAGTTCCCACGACAGTCTGATCTGAAAGGAACTCACAATGACCTAAGGACACCAAATGATTACAAAAAAATAAGAAGAATAATAAATAAAGTCCATGTTCACAGACAGGTCAATTAAAGACAAATACCCAAGGTCCAAGGAAACGTAACCAGATGTGTGACCAATCGGAACAAGTCCATGTTGTGACTAGGAAAATCCTTTTGAGAAAAAAAAAACAAAACAATTAAAAGTCCAATTTTAATTTCAGACTGGATTTTGAACACTAATCAGCCGGCAAATTCATTTTGCCAGAAAATTAAAGTGGTGGGAGTTTCGAAGGTCTTTTCTTTCTTTGCCAGTGCCACTAAGCAAAGGATAAGAGATTAATCACGGGAACGTTCAGAGTATTAAGTCTCCATTATTTGTGTCTTACAAGGCTTGAGAAACATCAAACCAATAGAACATAATGTTCTGGCTTGAATGCCCCTCATATTTCGGCTACAAGTTTACCCGAAGTAACTAAACCAATACTACCAATGTTAGGTGTACCGAATATTTTGGGTGTGTCTCATATTCTGACTGTGCTGAGTTTTCTGGCAAATGTTACACACTATTCAATATTGGGGGTGTACCTAATATTTTGGACCTTGGTTTACAGTGAATATAAAAAGTCTACACACCCTTGTTTGAAAGCCAGGTTTTTGTGAGATGAAACTTTGATATGGTGTATAAACTGTACAATTTTTGGGGGGGAGAGATGAAGTCAAAATAAACAAGTAAGGTTGCATAAGTGTGCATACCCTCATAACTGGAGATGTGGCTGCGTTCAGAATTAACCAATCACAGGAAAGCTCATGATAAATGAGAATCAAAACGCAACTTCCAAGCCCCTCAGATTAATACATGTAAGATGTTCTAGTAGGCTTTTGCTGACATGATTTGGTGAGTGAGAAAGGAGGGTGCTTTTTAGTAGAAGCCTGAAGGTTTTGTGCTAACAATGACTAGGAGGGCAGACTAGACACCGGACTGCGAGTCAGTCACAGGCCATGTACCAGACAAACGTTGAAAGAGACTGGGTTGTCCATCAGTGTGTGTATGATTGGTTGTTTGTCTATATGAGGCTTGTGATTGGCCGGTGACCGGTCCGGGGTGTCTCCGAAGGTCGGCTGAGATACGTTCCAGCCTCCCGCACTGCCCTAATGAGGCCAAATGCAAAATAGATGGATGGAGGCTATGGTATCTGTTTTCGCCCATTCAAATCATCAACGGTTTGACTTCGGAACCCACAATTAAATTGATTGATGTCCCCAGAGGTAGACGCGCATATAAATGAACAGGCACAAAATAGATCTGTTCCCTTACTGCAATCCATCTTCATTTTTTTATGGCCGCTCAGCAGGATTAATGGAGGACTCGCGGCCACGCGCCACTCTTGTCTTTATTTAAGGAAGCGTCTCATTGGATTGCTAACATACTAATGGAGTTGGAGAAAAGCAAAAGCCGCCCAATAGGTGCGTGTGTAGCGGCATCATTTCTTCTCTCTGTGTGTCAAACTCCGATAGCAAAGGTGACACAAAAATAAATTCTTAGGGAAAGCACGACTTTGCTTGTTAGCGGACTCAATGTCACCTGAGTAAGACGTGTCTCGGGATTCACCTTCAACAAATTTTAGTCAACAACTCAAGCCAAGGAAGATTTGATCATTTCGAGCCTCACCAGGCAATATTGAAAATATGTCAAAAGTGTGGTTGACAACAAGCGTGTCCGAAAACTAATGTAACAATGGACAATTGAAAAATAACCAGTGTGCCACAATCTGTGTTTGAAAAGGGTATTTCATGATCAAAATATCCCAACATGGTAAACTGAGCTGGGCATTGACAATGGTATATCGCCGTCATCTTCTCATCACCAGACTCCTGTGACATATTTGTTCCCAACAGGAAATGACTATCACTGAGGGGCGTCTCATTCCCAAACTCTTTTTATCCCTCTTTGAACGTGAAATAGCTCACGTCTGTGAGAAATGAGTCAAACGAGCCCACTGATATTGGTGTCTTCCACTAGCTCAGGTGGAAAATTAATATGCCAGTGGATATACCGTAGTGACTTTATCAACGCTGTATTGCAATACCAAGGCAGCTGAATTCTTTCAAATTTTTTTAAATCCATTTTCAATCATGTACATTGGCCCAACATATAAACTCTTAGGTTTTAATACAAATATTAATGGAATATCACAGCAATATCCAAAATGACAGCAAAATATAAAACATTTGCAGACTATAGTCAGAGGATATACTACAAATAAACGATTTCTAATACTGTAATGATCACTTTTGATTGTGACGTATTGATTTAACGATATGGTTGTTGTTGTTTGCCATGTGGAGGAGCAGCAATGGATCAATGCATTGCTAAATTACTTTGTGTTCATTTTCTATTTGGAAAAATAATTGCAGTGATTATTAGTAAATAATAAGATGAATACGTAGATTTTTATTTTAGTCTTTTGTTATGAAAAAAAAAAAGGTCAACACAGCCAGCCACCCTTCACACAATGGGATCATTGTGGGATGACGCAAATGAACGTGATTGGCAGTGACTGCCCGGCAAGAGTTTTAAATGAAAATTTGCAACAGCAGTCACAGTGCAGATGAGAAACGCAGCCAACAATTCCTCTCAAGCAAAGCCATTTGTTTAATTTGCTCGTTTTGCGTGTCCAGGCTTACCCGTTTACAAGAGAAAGAGCGAGAGAGAAGGAGGGCTGTGCAGTGTGTATGTGAATAACAGACTATTTTGCATGGGTTGGCGCAAGAGATGGCTTAGCGAATTAGTTGTTGGCAGAAATTTACAATTCCCAAACATTTATTAAGTGGCAGTGCACAGTACCTGTGGTCCCTGATGCAGAATCTGGAGCTGGGCCTTGCAGGGGAGCTTTAATCAACTCTGCCAGGACCACAAATGCAATCCAAAGACGCTTGGCATCCACGTTTCATCCATGGAAAACCTTGAGAGGCCATGAGAAACGAGTTAAAATAACATGTTTTTTTTTTTTTCCTGGCCAACTTGAAATATGTATTTGATTCTTGTTTCTTTTCAAACTTGAAAAATCTTCTGGACTGCCATTTTTTTTTTTTTTTTTTTTTTAATGGTCCCTGCTGGATTATATTCTGTCACAGTTCATGAACAGTGGAAATTAAATTATGTTGACTGGACTAGTGTAGCAACACACACACGCACACACACGCACGCACGCACGCACGCGCGCGCACGCACGCACGCACGCACGCGCGCGCACGCACGCACGCACGCACGCACGCACACACACGCTTTCATCATTCATCACTTGAGGCTTATCACTCAGATAGTTAAAATGACGACAACCTGTTTGCTCTGCATAATTCCGCGGGGGCTAAATCCCTTGCTGTATCTCTGCGCGCTGCCATTGATCGGACTCGTCGAAGAAATCCATTCGATGAGTGACAGTGGATAAGGAATCTGCTGAAGCAAAAAGCTGGACCATGAATATTTTATCTGATGGTGTACCTTCAGAAAATAGAAAGTCAATTGGTGAATTAAATAAAATGTAAACAAGGGCAATATCGGACTCTCGTTACACTCCAGCGGCTTTTATCGACATGACCTGCAGGTTTATTGTTTAATTCCAGTTCAATCATTTTTTTTTTTCGTTCGCCAAGTTATAAAACCGCCCTTTAATTTAATTTCGCAAATAAACCACATTACCTCAGATACACACAGGATGTCTTTTTAAATACAGTCAACGGCTCTCGCGTTGGATTTCATTAGATTGCATGTGCAGGTGTCCCTAATGAGGTTCCTTTCAATTAAATGGGGGCATTTTTGGACGCGATGCTTGAAATTTCTTCACAGCGGCTTCCAAGTTGAGATAAGTTTTGGTGACTTCGCCGCGAGTGGTCGCATTTCATTAACATTCCCAGTTCCCTCGTCGCCGCATCGCTGCCAGGCTCTTCCAGTGTGCGCGCATGTGTGTCAGACCCGCTCTGCAATCAAGATGAATGAGCACCAAGAGGAGAGTAAATGCTCCATGGGGGTGTGGGAAGGGAGGCGAGACGGGTGATCGACGGGTATGGAAAAGTGACGGATGTCAGGGTGGACAGATGAGATGGGCGGGTTGCCAGAGTTCTCCAATAAGGCACACGGGCTCATAAGGAATCCTGACAGATGTAGGGCAGGATGGGAAAGATCAACAGACATACGTAGGCTATTCCCATATGGTCTCTGTGCCGTCCACTGCTCCATTTATTTATTACCCTACACATATACTGATGTTTTTTTTTTGTTTTGTTTTTTAACGTCTTAACAGATTTTGAAGATGTGAAAGGGACTACGACATGACAAGGAAAACAACGTGCTACTTCAGCACGCTACTGTCCACATGGTCATTTTTTCAGTAATAAATAACTTGGGTTGTCTTTAACACCAGTTTTACTTTTTTTGTTCATCTAAATGTGTTTTTGTAAATCGTGTATGCTTGTCTTTAAGTGCACATTTTTATCCTGTGTTTTAAGCTCTTGTAAAGTGTCTTTGAGTATGATGAAAAGCGCTTTCAAATAAAATGTCTTATTATCATTATTATTATTATTTAAGCATGCGGTATTAAAATTGGATTCCTTGTTTCCGGTCATTTCGGGGATCAACAGTTCAGAGTGTAGCCCTCCTACTGCCCGAAGACTGCTGGGATCGGCTGCAGCACACCCGCAAACCTTTTGAGTAGAAGCGGATTCGAAAATGGATGGATCGATGGACGGATCAAATGAATGTCATCCCTCTTATTCAGTGTTAAATCATCACTTATTCATGATGCAGCGGGTGAATATCCTCTTTTGCTTTGTAATGAGAGCCACTGATTTCTGTTCACTCGATTGTTTCTGCTCTCCTGTCAAAAGGAAGTCACTTCTCTGGGCTAATCGATCAGCTTCCAGAATGTTTGCTCTACAAGAATGTATCATTAGTAAACATTTCCCAGTTGATGTGATAAACACCCCAAGCAGTACAAAGCTAATAAACTACTTTCCCACTCGTAAAAAGTCTTTGGGAAGTTACTCCGGGGTGGGGAAAAAAAAAAAGTGTACAAAGGTAGGCCATAGCCTTTGCAAAGAATATAAATAGCATGTTGCTTGGAGACAATTAATCATGAAGCAAAAAAAAACAAAAATTGTGCTGCAGCAGCAAGGTGAAGAACACGCTTGTGTGCACTTACTGCTTACACAAGCAAGGCTTGGCTAACAGTGTTTTTTAGTGCCACTTTTGTGTCACTGACAGTTGTTAGCAACAGACACTGGAGTCCAAAAACGGGCATGTCATCCCTCTTATTCAGTGTTAAATCATCACTTATTCATGATGCAGCGGGTGAATATCCTCTTTTGCTTTGTAATGAGAGCCACTGATTTCTGTTCACTCGATTGTTTCTGCTCTCCTGTCAAAAGGAAGTCACTTCTCTGGGCTAATCGATCAGCTTCCAGAATGTTTGCTCTACAAGAATGTATCATTAGTAAACATTTCCCAGTTGATGTGATAAACACCCCAAGCAGTACAAAGCTAATAAACTACTTTCCCACTCGTAAAAAGTCTTTGGGAAGTTACTCCGGGGTGGGGAAAAAAAAAAAGTGTACAAAGGTAGGCCATAGCCTTTGCAAAGAATATAAATAGCATGTTGCTTGGAGACAATTAATCATGAAGCAAAAAAAAACAAAAATTGTGCTGCAGCAGCAAGGTGAAGAACACGCTTGTGTGCACTTACTGCTTACACAAGCAAGGCTTGGCTAACAGTGTTTTTTAGTGCCACTTTTGTGTCACTGACAGTTGTTAGCAACAGACACTGGAGTCCAAAAACGGGCTGTGTTGTGATATCGCGAAGGGAGTGCTTCTCAAACTGGGGTCTGAAAAGTGCTTCACTACAAAATTGGTGATTTTAGTCGGCTTCAGACCCCCGTCGCGAGATGACGGCAGCGCACTTCACAGTGGCGTCCTGCCTGTTCGGCTGTCAGACGGTGCTCCGTGCCTTCTCCGCCCCTCTGCGCCCCGTGGTGGGGGTCGACGGGGCCTGTGTTTGGGCTACGCTGCTGTGGACCGTCCTGTCGCTCCTCCGTCTGCCCGTGGGGGGGACTGCTGCGGTGCTCAGTGGCGGGGCTTCTTGGGCTCCGCTTCCGGTGGTCGGGCTCCCCGCCTGCGCTGCACCATTTCCCGGGCGTCACTCCTCGTCCTTCCCGGAGGTGCATCCGCCGTGGATTTCGTCGGGGCTTCCACCTCGATGGCTCCAGGGTCATCACCTCCTCTGGTCGTCCTCCCGCCGGCCACACTGAGACAGCGGCAGAAACGGCCGGCGGGCC